CTAATAAGGGGGGGGACCTAATGTCCTCCCCCCTGGCCCCCACCCATGAGCGGCAGGTGGGGACCCTAAATTGGAATAAGGGGGGACCTAATGTTCTCCACCCTGGCCCCCACCCCTGAGCAATGGGTGGGGCCCTAAATACTAACAAGGGGGGGGACCTAATGTCCTCCCCCCTGGCCCCCACCCCTGAGCAGTGGGTGGGGGCCCTAAATACTAATAAGGGGGGGACTTAATGTCCTCCCCCCTGGCCCCCACCCCTGAGCGGCCACAGGCTGTTTAATAGACATGCCCCTACTCGCGGTATAGCGAGTAGGGGCATAATTTACTAATACTAAGTAATCTTTACTTAGTAAATTTGTCTGAAAGACCAGTAATTTCTGAACTTCTGGACCTCGGCACTTCGGCAATTTGGCACTTTGGCAATTCGGCACTTCGGCAATTCGGAAGTACCTGAATGTCCGAATTGCCCGAAATTCGTCCGAATTCATATTCGGACCGAAACAAATTGCACATGTCTAATACTTATGACGTTCTGTGTCCGGTGTACAAAAGGGCCTGTTCCGGTTGTGTTGACATAAGAAATTATTTATTAAAGTTTAGGGTAAAGTAGCCAACATGACAAAAAAACTCCAGTTCCTGGGGATTCTTTTTTTCCCAAGTCTTTTTCAAAAGCTTATTATTTTTGGATATGTTTTTAAAAATATTTAATATTTTTAGATATGCTTTTAAAAAATTTTTTTTGACTAATATATATAGACTATGTTAGACTATTAAAATAGGTCATATATAAAAATATATTGAAATATTTTTCCAAATATTAAATCATATTTATCCAAAAAATTTAAATTGAGGCCTCTGTTAGTGGACTTGAAGCGGATCTGTCAGTTTTGGGGGTCTTTGCATTTGCAAAGACTCCCGAAATTGACAGATCCGATGTAGGTCCAGAGATTGCAGGGTGCAGGGGAGGTGAGTTTTACTTATCTCAGACACTACCCAGCAGCCGCTGGCATCTTCATACTGCAGGTCCTCTTTGGCTCATGGTTCTCAAGTTGCCAGGAGCAATGCCGGTGCTTTACTCTCGCACATGCGCACAAGTACAATCTGAGGTCTATGCAGGATCCTGCGAGACTGAAGGGTTGTTTCTTAGACAGAGTATAAATCCTACAGCTGTCCTTTGTGGCGGCTACTGGAATTGGACCAAGGTTGACGGCAAGCTTCGTCTTTTGTCAACTTAACTAGAAGATAAAGTAGCCCCTTCTTTGTTTTATGGAATCTTTGGAATGCATTCCAACGCAGTCTGAATCAGTATTTCATAAAGATTATATCTTAATGAAACACTGAAAGGTGATACATCTGCTTCAAAGTTGTCAGTTTTCAATTCACAACAACATGCTGTTTAGCAACTTCAAGGACAATTGCATTGTAATAAATTGCAGAAAGAGAAACAGATTAGTGTACATTAAGTCTATGACATATTTTACTATATAATTATTACAGACTGAAAAATAAAGATAAAGTAAATGTATGCAGAAATGCAATTTCCATTTATCTCTTAATGTATGCATGAATTTTATTTGATGTAGGGCTAAAATAATATGCAAATAACAGACACAGATTTACAGCACCGTACACAGAGAGTCTGACTAATTACAGTAATGATTCCACCCAGGAGTATTCGTTGAGCAGTCTTTTTCCCTTCCTACTATCTTTTTTTTACTTGGAAATGTTTTTCAAGAAAGCTTGAAGATAAAAAGTAAAAAAGTAAAATTCTTACTAATCACACAATGTACCCTGCTCACTTCCTATGATAATCCCATTGTAGGCCAAGGAAACAAAAATGTCATAAACAAGCCACAAAGAATTATATCTGGAATAGCATGTTATTCATAGCCTTTTTTTTTTTTTTTTTTTTTAGCAAGCCCTAGATAACAAATGAACAAAAGAATTAAAAAGTGTCGTAGGTAGAGGAGGAAATGAGGTTTATATATATATAACCTATTTGGATTTTGCTTCCCAAGCACTACCAAGCCTCAATAAGCAAACCAGTAACCAACCTCATGCTGAAGAGTTGCATTAACAACCAAACAGCTGTCCATGAGTGGTTCACTGGTTTTGCATCTTTTCCTAAATTGTGTTCCAAGCAGTTGTATCCTGCAAACACAGATTAAAAGGAATCCATGTTTAAAATGGAATGAGGCAAAAATGTGATTCTTTGCTAAACTAATTTGCATATGCCCACCCAGAATCCTTTGCGGTTGTAACATGACTGCAGTTTTGGGATTTCTGTGGGAAAAGCAAGTCTTATGGCTTGACTGGTGTGCAGATTTTTGTTTAACATTGTATTAACCATATATATATATATGGAAAAAGAAAGAAGGACATTGGAATTTTTGTATTTGATGGAGTGCAGGATTTTTCCTTTTTTATATATATATATTTATTTTATTTATTTTATTTATTTTTTCATTTTAGTTTCAGTTTCTACTAATGACATGAATCAAGGAGATATGGTAAACAAGACAGTCCCGCTATAACTGTAGTTGAGTACCAGTCTGTAAATTCAAAAGTGGATTTAATTTTAGATTGAGTAGAACTATTTAGTGAATTAATATAAGGTTTACAGGTAAGAAAGAATGTTTTCATCAAAGAACATTTTTTTTGGCAAAGTTTTATCCATATGGAATAGGATTGAGATTTTCAGATGAATTAGTGATAGTGGGGGGAGGCTGATCCAAAAATGTAGTATACTTTTCCATGCCGCTGCAAGGATCATATGGGCTAATTTCGGAAAGTGGCTTAATTCTTCTGTTGTTACCACCAATATTGTTAACAATCAGAGTCGATCCTGGGTGGGTGCATGGGGTGAACAGTGTCCAGGCGCTCTGTAGATAGAGAGATAGTGCAGCACTAGGCCCCACCCCTTGTCATGCTCAGCTCCACGTGTGAGACTGCAACACAGCTAGGAGGGAAAGACTATGACATCTCCTGGCATTAGGATGGCGCTGACAACATGGCACTGATAAGCTGTGTGGAAAGGGAAATGGCACTGATGACCCATTTTAGGACAAAGATAGCACTAATAAGATATTTGGCCACAGAGATGGCACTGATTAGCTATATTAGGACAAAAAATGGCACTGGAAAACTGTATGAACATAGATATGGCACTGGGAAGCTGAGCACAAAGATAGCACTGATATGCTTTTTGTTGGCAAAACTGGCAAAGTAGGAGGTGAGTGACATATTACCTAGTAAAGCTTAGGGCCCAAAGAGATCTAGTGGTTTCCATAGAAAATGGGTGTGGTTAGTAGTGTTATGCTTGTGAAAGGGAGGGGTTAGCAATATAGCCACACCCATTGCGCCAAACATTTTCTTCCACCCAGGCGTATGTGACCCTAGTTTCAGCTATGCCAACAATGGAGAGATACAGAAAGCTCTCCAGAACATGCATTTATTTACTAATATAGGTGATTTTAAGTAGTTTTGTTAAATGTAAAGCTGTATTTTTGTGCAATAGTGAGTGGAGAAATAATCTTTACAATGTATAAGATGTGTATACAAACTTATTAGGTTTTTGATGTTTCTTCCAAGAATTAATAGTTGGAAGAACAAGTCACACAAGGGGGAGGAGCTTGCAGGGATTAAAAATCCATGGCGGCTAAGCGGTATTTTCGGACTTAATACACCAACTTCACTGTCTGCAGCAGTTTGGAGAGTCCAGCCCAGCCGGAGGAGATAACAGCAGCCCACCCATTGACTCACTGACAAAGCTGAATTCGTGAGTAACGGCATATGCCGGTTTAACTCACCACCTTATCTAGTAAGAGGCTGAGCAATCCTATTGCTCTACGATTATAGTCTCTAGTGTTATTGATAATCTTTTACTTTTGTCTCATTTAAATTCTGCATGTAGCAGATAAATAAATTGTTAATCTTTTTTAAAACACATTCTGCATTTAATTTTAAAACACATTCTGCATTGGATGCAAAATTGCATGTTTAAATTATATAATATTATTGAGTCATCTGAGATCAAGGCTACATACTGATGAAATCAGTAACACAAACAAATGTTAATTGATTAATAGGTGCCACTTTAAAACAATCTGCACTATTATTGTATTTTTTGTATCTTTTTTTGTATCATGTGTCATCCACCTCCCAGCTCCTCCATATCTCATTCTCCCCCTCCCAGAACCTCCATGTGTCTCATGCACCCCCCTAGCTCCTCCATGTGTCTCATTCCCCCTCCCCTCCTGTTCCTGCTGACATCCATGCAGTGTGGCCAAGTGGACCTTGGTGGAGAATTCTGTTTCTGACAGGAAGTGCTCATTGAGAGTACTTCCTGTTAGATCAGGAAGAGAATACAGAAGATCCTCTACCCGCGGTCCGCTCAGCCACACTACATGCTGTGACTGGCAAGAGGTGAGCGCTGTGCTGTGTCCTCCCCTCCTGCAGGTCCTTCTGTGTGCATCAGCATGAGTCACAGCACAGCTGGGCCCCCTAGAGTAACGACCCCGATCTCAGCTACAACCCCTGCGACCGTGCTAGTATAATGTATCTAATGGGACTCTATAGTAATCTATACCACAATAAAGGTATTTGTACTATAAAATAAGTATTAATTGTGTGAGCCTGGTGAATAGTCTAAAACTAAAAGAAGCATGTGATAATCTATCATAAATTCATAACATATATATACCAGTCAAATTACCAACAAGATGAAGATGTGTTGAACAGTTTTGATGTGTAGCCGGCACAGCCTTAGTTATCTGTGCCCTACCCTACCCTTCCCCTTCTCTCTGTTTAACTTTCAAACTATAATGTTGTACCAAAAGTTATAAGCACTGTGCCTTTAAGACAAAGGGAAAAAAAGGTTGGGGTAATTTCCCAAAATTAAATTCTTCAGTAATATTCTATAATAATAGTGACATACAAGAGAAAAAGAAAAGAAGAAACAAATAGTGTAGTATTGTATATCAAATCTCACTTTATAAAATGCGAGTGCATAAAACTCACAAAAAGAGAGCAGTGAGGCCTGCTGTAACTACAATGGCTCTAAATCAGTGTGGGCCAAGAAATCAGCCAAGGCAGCTTTCCGTAATGACAGAAATTTATTGGTAGGGAAAAAGCAACCTCCTTATGTACAGATCCTCCCAGCAAGCAATAGAACATGTGACTCCTGCGTTCCAGAAGACAGCTCTCTGGTTTCTTTGGTACTCGGGTGCATCGCTGCTAACTCTTCCGTGTGGCGGGGTCTCGACTATCTCTCATAGAGGCAGTGACTGGAATCCAGGAGACACCAGTTGCTGTAACGCTTCAGCATGTCAGCGAGATTGAGACCCTGTGTAATTCTTTAGGAAAACTTAATTTGGAACTCAACCGCAGGTGAATGAATACATTTGATACTGTCACTTTAAGAAAATATAATTTATTGAAATTAAGTAATTTAACTTTGGCAATCTTCTGTAGCAATACGAATTGGAAATAGTAATTCTTAAGCAATGGTAATCTTGCTTAGTATTGCTTCAAAGAAAATAGTGTTTAGCAGAAATAAATAAACAAGGTAACTCCTTAATTAGGAACTTGTAACAGTCTATTTGACATCAAGAATAAGAAATAGGAGAAACAGGTCATTCCTGTTTTAGGCAAATTACATACAGTCTCTTAAATTGCAATAGTAAATGATGAAATTAAATAGATCTTGATTGGGAGATAATCACAGTCCTTTAGAATCCAATTAATATGTGAAATAAACTAGAAATGAATAGTCAACAGTAAGTAAGCATTTTAGGAGTAACTGTATCCCAGAGAGCAGACAAGTGTATTCCCTTTTTATCCTTCCCAATAACTTTAGGTATGAACCAATTCTTAATCCCTGTACCTGGAGAACTTAGCTTGCTTTACTTGGATGATGAGCATGACAGTCCTTTCCAAGATAGTGAGGATTATGGTTCCCTGTAGTATATGGGGGGAATCCTGACACCCTGTCTCCTGGAAGAGTTAAAAGGGGCGACCGAGGTTATTTCTTCTGCTTCTATTTCAAGATCCTCCACTTTCGTTTGGATTTGTGTGATGAGATCAGATTGTTGTTGAAATTGTATGTATTTCAGCTAAGGAGTCTTCCAAGTCGCTGTGCCTGTTTTCAAGGCTATCAAGTCCACAGGAGTTAGTAGCCACTTTATATGACAAGGTCGCCTATGGTGTCCTGTACGATGTCAAACTTTGCCTACAATTTAGGCCAGAGTGAGGTGGTTATGTTGTCTGCTATAGAAGCGGCGTTGTTATTAGGGAGGTCTGTTGTGAATAAGGCGTTAGATGTGGTGGGACTTGGCTTTGCTGAAGAGACTTCTTCTGAGCATATGTCTGGTGCTTTCGAGAGGGATTTGGTTTGTTTTGAATGTGTTTTGGTGTTATTTTTCCCCAGTTGGACACATTTCGTCATTGCTGTGAAAATAGTAAAATGTAGGGATATGCAATTCCTTTTGAGTCCCAAGTATCCGATGCAGACCGGGCAGCTTTCAAATCATTGTGCCACTAGTTTCTGGAATAGAAGATATTTTCGGTTTTGCGGACATGTAGAAGTGGCAATGTGCCGTTTAAGTGTTATCAGGAGAAGAGTTAGATTACGTTCTTAGATAATTAGATAACGTTCTTGGTTTAGCTTGGTCTGCCCCGGTGAGGAATTTTAGTTGAGTAAATAATTGAGTATGGGAACGTTTTGTATTTTTTAGTTTTCAGCCGGTTCCATTTAGAGTGTATATACCAGAAAGGTATGTGCTAAAGCCAAGCTAGAGCCCACAGTATTGAAATAAAAAAATTGAACTTTACCCCTATATAGCTGAAATCATATTGACACTGAACTTACATAATAGCAGACTCCTACTGGCTGACCAATGGCATATTGGCTGAAAAGAGCCCGTTCTACTGGGACAATGAGTTGTTCCACAGAATAAGTCAGGATATGCCAAACGCTATTGGAATAAAGTAAGTACTTTGATATCTAATTAATAAGGGGGTGTTGTATTAAATAGTAACAAACACAGTTTGCATGTATATAGCATATTAAAGTGGATCTATTGCATTGCCGTTTTTACCATTTTTATAGTTTATTCAGCTCAATAAACATAACTGAAATGTTTAATTTTTGATTTAGGAGGTAGAAGCTAAATAAAACTTACTTGCCATCGGTGCCTAAACCCACTAGTAGAGAGAGCCATTTTTTTAAAAATTCTTTCTTTGTTTTTTTGTGTGCATATAATGACAACAAGCGTGTGGAGCCACAACAGCATCCACAAGCATTTTTATAGCATTTCACATTGTGGCAGTTTGGTCAACACATTTTTATATATTATGACGTTACCAGGCTAGTGGACATCGCTTAGATGATATAACATGGTTTGGCGGATATGCCTTTAACAAGTCTAGTCGCGCGTAAGTTTAGAAGTATGTAGCTTATATGAAGTACGATTTATATATCTTGGAAACATAGTATTATGATTAACTGAGTAGTAAGCTAGCAGGGGTAACATTATACTATGTAAAGCAGGCTAGTATTCTAGGTTTCATGCCTATATAACGTATTGAGAGAAAAGAAAGAAAAAACGGAATACATAAATGTAACTGTATGCTTTGCCAGTCAGTTCAGGGTGTAAAATAAGACTGGTTAATTACCAGCTGGTCATTGGTGACCATGGGTTAAGTGCAGACTGGTAATGTATGTGCTGCTATACTGCTGAGATGAGGCATGGATAGGGATGGGTAACATAATAGGGAGCAACGATTCAATGAATGAAAAATAAATGTAGTGAGTGAAAACCGTAACTCAGCGGCAGCAGACAGAGTCCCCGCAGTTGCAACCCTTCACCCAATGCCGCTAGTGTGCAGGTACAGATAGTCCCTTCTTTGGCCCGGTCTGGTGTTCTTTTGTGCCCTCTTGCTGAATTGCGGCAGATTCCGGTTCTCGTGTGTGTCAGGCGTGGATAGTTACAGCATCCCAAAGTCCAACTGCTTGAGTCCCAGTTTCAGGCCCATCTGCCCAGCGGCGTGGGGGCTTGTGTTTGTGGCTTTGGGAGGTGGCATCGTCGTTGGTGGTTCCCAGGATCTCTGTGGATTTGTCTGGGTCTGGTGTTGTGAGTGTGGTCTGCTTCTCTGCAGGTATTTAGCAGGTTGCTGCTTCTTGCTGGTGTTAGAGGGTGTCTGTGGCCTCCTTTGAGCTGGCTCCGCTGCTCTGTTCATTCGTGTCAGTTTGCGGGCTGGGTGGAGAGGTCTCCCTTTCTGGCGCCATCTTGAGGCCTTGTTCAGATGGAGGCCTGCAGAGTTGTGGCAGGGGCGTGCAGGCTTTTCTCTGTGTGGGTGATTTTCAGGTATGTTAGGCTGCTGTGCTGTCCAGTTTTGCCCAAAAGGCATCGAATATGGCATTAAGTCTGGTCAGGATATTGGGCCGTTCTTTGCCGCAGGTATTGTCGCATGCGGTGTTCGCCATTGTTGCTGGAGACTGCTCATGTGGTTTTGCAGTCTGTGTCTGTTGTGGCCAGGCTGCTTGGAGGGGTTGGACCGGATTACCCCCACCGGTCCTGAGGCGGGGGAGCGGGCAGTCAGTGGCTCTGTACTCCCAGCATAAGGGCGAGGAGAGCAGCCGCCTCCCCCCAGCCCCATCCGCCGTAGGCCGCAGCTTTTTATCTCGGGTTTTCGTTTGTGGGAAATACTCGTGTCAGGTATCCGGTGATTCACCAGGGTGCCCTTAACGTGAGGAGCGTACCCTGGCATCTATGCAGGCATCGAGTTGGTGAGTATTTCGGGTATATCAGCGTGGGCTGTGGGAGCCCCTTCAATATGCGTCCATTCAGTTTGCAGGTCAAGCCCCGCCCCCCTGAGAGAGAGCCATTTTGAGTGGAAGTTACAATTACAAACCGGCTCATCAATGAAGTCAATGGAGACTCAAAATGTAATCTAATTTGTGAGAACTCAAGTTAGATTCTCTGTCTGCACACAACTAAACACTTGCTTTTGGTTGTGAATGCAAAAATTCCCTAATCACAGAGGCTGATTTGCCATGACGGCATGATACACAATAACGATAAGTCTTAAAAGGTTTAGATGCATAGGTGTATTTTGGTTTTGAATTAAAATAAGAAAAAAGACAGCTTTATGACCTCTACTATGCAAGAAAGCAATTTGTTGGACGGAAGCAACGAGTCTTTATTGTACAACCGACAACACGTGTATATACTCACATATATTGTACGATGTTTTAATCCATTGCCTTCTGTACCTTATTAATCATTGACTCTGTAAGTCAAATGTCTTACCTGTATACCATCTGTTATTTTGAAATAAATAAAGAAGTTACGTTAAAAAATAAAATAAGAGGGCGGAGCCAACTACCGAGCTGATCGGACGCCATTTCTGACAGCTCCGACACTCACCCTAATATTTCGCCTCAATCTTGAGAATCCAGCCTGATCCTACCACTCCATACACACACCCCGACTCGGGAACCCGCACCGCACCGATAGATGCCCTTCTTTATGAAAAAGACGGCACCAAAGAGGAAAAGTAAGCCCGGGGCCTACTCCACGCTCACACCACTTACTTGGGAGGCGCTCCTCGGCGGAATCCACCGGGGACCCACGAGCACCCCTGTCACTGGACCCCTCTCCAACCCTGAGGTCCACATGCCAGCCATGGGGCGACGCTCCCAGAAAGCCGGTATACAGACAGACGGCAGAGACATTGGGGCCATGCTCCAGAGGCCTGCAAGGCCCAAACTGACCCTAGAGGAAACCCAGCCGACCACTACTCAAATAGATCATCCTGATCAAGCAGAGAGGAATGATCTCGGCACCATGATACCAGCACCACCGGAGGGATCACCTCCAGCGACGAAACACGACCTGCAAATACTATTACAAGACTTCCATAAAATCCTGTCGCAGGAACTAACAGGACTTAAAGCGGATTTACAAACCACAAAAGACCGGGTACAAGCTACGGAGGCTGAAGTGACCGACGTCATAACCAGCCTAACACAGGTACAAGACTCGGTACAACAGCTCCAAAAATCCCACCACAACATGGCCCTACACCTGAATGCCCTCGAGAATAGCCATAGACGTAACAACATAAAAATACGAGGCATCCCGACAAGTGTCACCACTGAGGAACTGCCGCATTACACAAGACGGCTTTTAGCAACCATTCTACCTCCAGCGGCGACAAGAAAACTGGTGATAGATGGAATATACAGGATTGCGGGCCCCCAAAGAACCACCACACAAACAATCCGAGATGTCATACTACGTTGCACATCATCCTCGGATAAGGGTCTAATAATGGCGGCGCTGCGGGGCAAGACTCCACTGAGGTTTGAGGAATCCAGCCTCACCTTTTACCAGGACCTAACGAGGGCCACATTACAGTGGCGCCGTTCACTTCACCCTGTGACCCAACGACTACAGGCCGCTAACATACAATACAGATGGGGAGCACCGGGCTCACTACTAACGACCCATAATGGAACTACTCACACACTTACATCACTCGAGGACGCCCCATCATTCTTTGCAACGCTAGGGCTGAAAAACGCGGACGCACAAACCCCAGAGGGACAGGAAGAACTGGAGGAAAGCGCTCTACCGGCTCCAGGCACCGCCAGACACTCCGCACGACTACCTGAACACAGCAGGAGGAACAACTATACGGGACAATATATAGTGACTGGAAGTTACTAACCTTATTAGCTAATACCTATACCATGCCTGCTCAGTTTTATATGCTTAAATTGTTTAAATTGTTCACAAGTTAAATACTCTGGCGCAGACAATATTTACCTGAGCGATAGGGTCCCCTACTTGACCCCCCTGACTGACAGGGACTCCCTCTCTGGTGGCATCCGTGCCCGCTAAAAATTACGGCGAGATAACAACCCCCCCCCCCTGCTGCCCCCAAGGTTAGGGGTAAAAAGCTTGACAATACACATTTGACATTATGCAACACACAGAGATGAGAGAGCAGTCAGTGGGACAATGAGAACACTCCCCAACCCTCGTGACCTACAACTGTAGACAACGACACCCTCACTGGCGACACTCCTACCCTGGGAAATAGCATGTTATTGTCCCTTAAAAACAAGGGCCTGAGCCTACAACGCAATGTACTTACACTCAACACAGTCGCGGACACCTTCATAAACTCAGACCCACAAAACGACGCTTAGATCTCTTTCCTGAGTACTGACATGTCCTGTTTACCCTGACAGACGCAGATCTAATCTCTGACATGCCCTATCAAATGCAGTAAATATCCAAAAACGTGCTGTTTAACAACTGTTATGTTTCTATGTCACACAAATGTATGCCTGATCAAATACCTATTTCCGCTGTTGTGGCAGAATAGGTACAATTGTACCACTTTCGCACAATTAAATAAAGAATTAAAAAAATAAATAAATAAATAAATAAAATAAATAAAATAAAAAAATGCCCTAATCACAAAAAAAAGCAGTTTCTTTTTAAATCAGCAATAAGGAAGTTCAAAAAGAATGAAACTAAAGTATCATAGACCACAATAAATACACTCGTGAATCAGCAAATCCATTTCAACCAACTGTTCTTGCAAACAAACAGAACTAAAGGCCATGTACAAATGCATTGTGCTGGAACACGTGCTATTACTCTAAATGCCCTAGTCTCAGCCTCTTTTACCATTTAATCTTCCTCTGCAAATATGCGGGATTCTGTGAAAGGCCTGATAGGGTGCAATGTGTTAGTTTTCCTTTGTTATCTGTTTGCATTCCTAGAATACAGGTTTACCTTTTATCAGTGAAGGTTACAGTTTAACAGTGAATTTCTTTCTTTTTTTTTGGGCATAGTGCAATTTTTTTCTGAGATGTCACAACCTTGTGATGTGGAAGTTGAGATAAAGAAATTCAGGGGTAGATTCACTAAATTGCACCTGAACGGCAGGTGAATGCTGTTTGGTGTTATCATTTTGGCTTTTTTTTTAACTAAAAGAATTCCATTATTATATTCACAAAAATGCTAATTCATTTATTTTAACAGAATTAGCATTTCCTTTCGGCAGTTTGATTGTTTGTTGAAACGTATAACTTGGCACGGTTTGCTATTCACAACCAGCCAAGTTGCAACAAAATGAGCTTTATTGGGCAGATTCAATTCCCCAGGAGAATTGCAACATTTGCATACACCCTAGCATTTCAAATTGTCAAAAAGTGACACTTTCATTTTACGGGTGTGAGTGGGGGTGTGGCTAGGGGGTCAGGCTTTTCTGAGAATTTTTATGTAACTTATTAATAACAATTTATGCAATTAACCCACACATTGGTAACTTTACAAGTTGCTACTTTTGGACGACTTGGTCTTGCAAGAAAAGCAAGATTTAGGTACTTTAAGGAAAATGCCTCAGACGAGGTAGAGCTTCTTGTTTTCTGGAAAGCCCCTAAATGCATCCTTAGGGGCCATCCTTTAGAAGACATGACCAGCCAAGATTCAGTCCTAAATAGCCAAAATACGCAAAGTGAAATTGGCTCATGATTCCAACCACTTTTGGAGTTTAATCACCCTAGGATGAGCTATGTCTAACTATTGAACGCCGCATACTACAAGGTCCACCTTGCATTAAAATCCCTTTTCCATGTTAACAGCCTTACTGACGCAAATGATCAATAAGAAGCAATCGTTCACTTACAAAACTAAGATGCGAGATAGTCAGGATATAATTCACTATCTCTCTAATGGTATCGCGGAGGTGTTGTGACAATATTTCTCTTACCTTTACAATTTGTTGTGGACTGACTCCTAGAATTACCTGGGGGCATACAGCTTGGGGATCCTTGTCGAAGCATGTTTATAAGCGCCTGTTGGTGGAAGACACGAGAGGCTCGAGAGGCCCATATCAGAGGAGGAGTTGGCCCTAGCAGTTACATGTATAAAGGCTGAATATTATAATCATTTTGCTCAAATTCTTTACCCACATTACGTGAAAGCATACGTAAGAAAGGTATCATCCCCAGCCAGACTCTCTTTGCCAATATAACAATACAACCAAAGGAAGGCAAAGATGCTTTTCAATTGTGACCTTAAATTATTAGCGAAAATCAATGCAATGAGACTACAAAACTTCCTTCCAGAATTGATCAGCCACTCTTCAGCACCAACGTAATTCCACCACTCCAGCCTTTTTAGATCATTGGGAGAAGGCCTTAAATACGAAATACAGTATTTTATTACAGTATACAGTATTCCATCCAGTATTGTTACTCCTCTACCATATCTCAGTGGCGACTTCTGCTTAAATAAAAATCGATAACTATTTGAATATTGAATACTGCTTAATCCCCTAATGTGGCATAAACCAGACACACCATCAATGCAACTCTCGTTTTCCAGAATGGAGAACTTCATGGCGAGGATTGCACACTTGGACCTCTGGTAGACAGCCCCTAGAGGTGGACTTAACCCTTCAATGTAAACAATGCAGTTTCTCTGAATCTACAATGTTTTACATTGCAGGGTTAAGAGGCAGGAGCACTGCACTGGGATCACTTCAATGAGATGAACTGGTATGGGTGCCAATAGTGTCCCTTTAAGGAATGAGTTACTGAGCTAATGGTATTATTAAAAGTGGGTGATCTCACAACCATTCCCCACTTCCTCAACTGCTATGGTACTGACCTCATCTTTGACTATGAAGAGTTTATATGTTGAGTTGAAGTCTTACCAATCATTGTTTATTGTTTTACTACCTTGTTTACTCTGTGAGTCATTCTTCGGTAAAACATGAAATATTCAACATTTTACGTCTATGCTTGACTTATACCTCAATTAAAAATGA